CTCTGGAAGTTTTGTCCATCAGTAGCTTGAAGCATGTGTCTCTGGAGGATCTGGGCAGGTCCCTGTGACAGTTGCTGGAGTTGATATGTCACAACCACTTTTAAATACTGCAATTTCCGTGTTCAGCAGTGATTTTTGTCTTGTGAGTGCATTTTGCGGAGTATGAACGGCACATATGTGTGTGTGTGTACTAATACACACTCATGGGGTGGGGCATGTGCGTGTGTCTATTCCCCATTAAAGGACTTGTGTACTTCAAAGTTCTTCTAAATGAGCAGTTTCATAGTTGACACCAGCTAAGTGTGCAGTTTGCAGATAGAGAGGATTGTCACACCTAGGCACTTTTGTGTCTTCTGAGACTCTTCCTGCTTCATTCTCCTGAACAGATGTGAGCAGCGAAGAAGCAGAAGAAAAGGACTGGGGAGAGAGTTGGTGGGTAAAACATTTCCTGTGCACAGCGAGGACCTGAGTTCTAACTCATGTTAAAAGCTGGACTTGGTAGCACACTTCATCAATCCTAGCGGGCCTTTGGAATAGTGGGAGGTGGAGACCCAGGGTTCCTGAAGCTCACGGGCTAGGGAGCCTGTCACACACAGCGGCCACTACCAGAGAGACCTGCCTCAAACAAGGCGGAAGGAGACGACAAACCTCTGATGGCCTCTGACTTCCACACTGTGGCATATGTGCGCCTGCATTTACCCCGTCCTAAGGGCCCTCCTGGAAGGATGAGGGGACCATAAGAAACCCTGGCTGCCAACTGGCTGTGGGGTGTACAGGATGTAGAGACCCCAGAGAATAACCAACACAGATCCTTTTCTTGTGAGGTACAAGAATTGGAACAGAAAGTGTCCAAGAGAAAACGAAATTTTCTTTTGATTTGAGTTTGAGACTCTTTTTTTTTGAGACAGGGTTTCTCTGTGTAGTCTTGGTTATCTGGGAACTTACTCTGTAGACCGGGCTTGCCTTGAGCTCACAGAGATCCACCTGCTTCTGTCTCCCAGGTGCTGGAATTAAAGCTGTGTACCACCCCCGCGCCATACATTTGAGATTCTTAATTGTCAGTTACCTAAGACGAAATAGATAACCCTTGGGGCTGCTGGAATACTCGTTCAGCGGCAAGGGTGGGAGGGTCAGGGTAGTATACTTATGCAGTACATTTTATTCATCAGTAAAACAAAAGTAAAACAGCATCATGAAGATGTTATGGGCCGTGTGTGTTAAACAGATGAAGCTGACAGGAAGTTACGAAAGGCACTTTCCAGAGGGAATCCCTTCCACCTTATGCTTTCGTTGGCCAAGTGCCTGGAGACTCTGCACATGCTCACATGCATCACTTCCTTCTGTGAAGACAGCACTCCTGGTCATGCCCAGTGCGTCTCAGCGTGTTCTGGGCGTCTGAGATTTCATGGCCCTGCCCATCTCTGTCCTTCTCCACTGGGGTTGACTGTGGCGGGATGGTAAGCGGATGACGATTCTCAGGCAGCCTTTTGAGGCAGATTTTTCTCACAGGCCTTTGGAGTGTTTCAATAAGAAAAGAAGGAAGCAGATTATGGAGTCAGCCACCCTCTTGAAAAATAAAAGAAAGGCTTCATAATTTCCCGAGACGATGCCAACTGGAACTTGGGGGATTTGGGAAGGTGCAGTAAGCCTTCTCCCTCAGCGTCATTCTCCAGCTCCCCTCTGGAGTCTTCAGACGCTTGGGGATGATTGTTTAGCTGTGTAGCCCTTCGTCCCCTTTCCCCCAGGGGAAGCAAACCCAACCACTTGCAGTTAGTTCTTGGGAGTCAGAGCCAAGGGTTTGGCGTGCTGAGGTGGAGAGTACTGAGGGGGCATCTGAACACCCGGTCAGGACTTGAGGTCAAGGAGAATGTGATGTGGACTGTTATGTCGAGATGACAACAGCCGAGGAGAAGGTGACGCGGGCTGTTATGTCAAGATGACAACAGAGCACCAAGCACAGCTAATGGAGAATCCTTCCTCCCAGGACCAGAATTGCCAACCGTCAGACAGCAGAGAGAGAGGTGGGAACGGTGTTGATGGGAACGGGAGTCATCACGCGTCCAGTGGCAGATGCATGCTTGTTCATTAACTGATTTGTTTGATGATGCCGCTAGGAAATTAGGAAATCTTTACAGAGAGCTCTTTCCTTAAGGCATCTATAGTCATTTTGTTTGACCATTTCTGTTACATCTAAATAAATAAAACAACTCAGAAGCAGACGGCCTAGGAAAACGACTTTGTGGGAATCATGTAATTGCTGTGCTAAGGAAGGGATCTCTCCAAACACATCCATGCTGCCTGCCGGCCTTCTGTCCACAGGCTTGCCCGTTTGAGTCAGCCTTCTGACCACAGGCTTGCCCGTTTGAGTCAGCCTTCTGCCCACAGGCTTGCCCATTTGAGTCACCAGCCGCTTCTCTTCTTCTTCTCCAAAGCTTGCGTCTGAAACTACACGGCATTTTTCTCTCCCACTGTGAGCAGAACGTCCTTGCTCGCTCAGCCTACACTGAACCCTTTTCCCCCACAGCCTTCAGCAGACGGTCTAACCATGGCTGCTTTGACCTACACGCTCCTATTCTACTTTACTCAGAGCTCGAGGGTTACGGATCACATGGCTGCAGACTGTAATTTTCTATTTTGTTGAGGATGGATTTGAGCTCACAGAGTATACCTATTTCATTTTAGATACTATTTAATCACATTAAATGAAAACTCTTTTTCATTTGTTACCTGGGCTTAATTAAGGTCGGTGAGAAGCGTGTGACGGAGTCATGCTAAGGAGTAGAGCTGGTCACGTGTTGTCTCTGGACAACCAACAACCGTTCCGGGGCAAGGAGAATGACCTACTTTTTATTTTTTCTTTTTAACATGTGCTTACAAAATGCCCGTGGCATAAATATTTTTGGACTGCTGGCAAGGGTCTCTCCTCTGTGCTCCTCACAGAGTCCATCAGTGCCCAGATGTCCAAGGTGACAACCGACGCCAGTAAAGGAAAACCAGGCCCACTTGCTCACTGCAAGAAAACTTATGGCAGGCCTGGTCAGAGGTTCACTCCTCTGGGATGTAGTTTTCCAATGGCAGAAATTAGACTCTTATTCTGACTAAATACAAGGACAACACTAGGGGGTGGTGGCGCACGCCTTTAATCCCAGCACTCGGGAGGCAGAGGCAGGCGGATCTCTGAGTTTGAGGCCAGCCTGGTCTACAAAATGAGTTCCAGGACAGCAAGGGCTACACAGAAAATCCCTGTTCCAAAACAAAATCAATCAATCAAACAAACAAACATAAAACCAGGAACTATCAGTCTTCAAGGTCTGTTGCAGTACCGAGAGTCTCTGTCTATATGCTGCACGTGACAAGCCACTTGTCACCCACACAGGACGACCAAGCACTCCTGATGTGGCTAGCCAGATAAATCTAAACACACAGAAAGTATGGACCACATCCCACATTCTGAAGACCAATTACAAGAAAGAAGAATATAAAATAGTTTGGATATATTTGGCTAAATAAAGTAGGTTAATCAAGTGGGCGTTACCCATTTACACTTTTGTACCGTGCCCTGGACAGACCCCATCACATCAGACGCATGGCTTCCCGACATCAGTACAGTGCCAATGATGGGAGCACAGAGATCTTTAAGGAATCTCAGATGTCCGTGTCTCAGGGTTGCACTGTGGGCAGGGGAGATTGCTCAGCTGGCAAAGTGCTGGCCACCAAGCCTGAGAACCTGAGGTCGATCCCTACAACCCACATAGTGAAAGGAGAGAACCAACTCTGCCGAGCTCCCCTGTGACCTCCACATGTGCCCTGTGGCACATGAGCCCCCCCCCCAAACAACACATGCCAAAAAGAAAGAGAAAAAGGAAATAGAGCATATTATTAAAATAATAATTTCTGGATTGTGATACTCCACCTGAGGTTTCTTTGAAATTGTTTTATCTTTCAATCTTCCGATAATTAAGATTATAGTTAATCAGAAAAATACCAGTCTTTACATCTTAGCCTATTTTTACAGATCCTATGAAAATCACAAATAAAAAAAAAAAGAAGTTGGCTTCAACGGAAATAACCTAAGATGATTCAGTTTGCCTTTATACTTTTCCATAGTGAATATGTTGCTTCTACACAAGAAAAAATATACTCTATTTAAAACTACATTATTCACCCACTCTTTAGCTTTAAACTTAACTCAGTTAATTTGTATGCTGATTTTCTTAGAGCGCCTGAGGCTTTTATCCCTTACTATATTTGACTAAATAGTAGGTACTTTAGCTTCAATATCATGCAGATATTTAAATACTTTTAGGATAGTTGCCAGCAAACAGCCCAGGACTTGGTGACATGTGGATAGCCAGGAAACATCTAACAATGCCCATCCAGAGGCATGTCATAAACAACAGCCCACACTTGTAGCCCAAGCTATTCCGGAGGTTGATACATTGCTCATCTCAGACATTCGAGGTTAGCTCAGGCAACATAGTAGGATCTTTTCTTTTAATCAAATCACTCAAAGAAAGATGTGCTATGTACAGCTGCCATGGCACATAGGTCAGACCAGCTTCTATAGCCACAGGTGCTCTCGAGAGGCTCTGTTCCCATACACAACAGGTTCAGTGTCGGTGGAAACTGTGCCCCTGACATTGGTGTCTGACGCCGGCAGCTATCACAGGCGAGATCAGTCAAAGTTATTGTTCAGCTCTCTGCTTCCTTTTTATTTAGCTAAGACCCCAGTCCCTGGTGTGACGCCACTCATAGTTAAAGAGGGTCCTCCCAGGTCAGTGAGCTTGAGCTAGACAGGCTTTCACAGGTGTGCCCAAACACTGACCTAATCTAGATCGTTCTTCACCGGCTTCCACAGTTTGCCTTCTAGGTGATTCTAAATTCTATCAAGTTGGCCCTATCAACCATCACACGACGATATGCATTGTTGTTCCCAATCCCCGTGAGGCGATACCTCTGCTGGTGATGATCCAAGTCACCAAGATCGACACAGTACTTACCGTTTGTTGTAAAGATGGCTTCTCCCTCCTGGGGTGCAGGGTCGGGGTCCTGGACCACCTGCAGAGCTCCCACTGTCCTCACTGCAGGATCCAAAGTGACTGAACTCTCGTTCACTGTTGTGTCACTGGCACCCGTGATCTGATTGGTGGGCGGGCCTCCCAGGGAGCCCTCGAAATCAATTGGCAGGTCGTCCATGCAGTCGGCACTGGGCTGCAGGGAGCAAAAAGGACCCACCTTAGAGCGCATCCTTGCTTTAGAGATGCAATGTCGGCAGCCTAAATATTTTGTCAGAATGTAAAATTAAGCTCATTGTTTCACTGTTTAGTTTTTAAGCCGCTTTATTGAAAGACATTTCTATGTGGCTTCATATATATGTAGTTTCATTGTCATGAGCAGATCGTCCCACGTTTCCTTTCTAAAGGTTCCTTTTAGATATAAGTATAAAGATTGAATTTCAAGTGCAGCAAACTTTCTATCTATATTTAGATAACTAGTTAGGAGGAATACACGATCTTTCTTTATAATCATAAAACTAGGACATTTATGTAGAGAGTTTATTCCCCCACACAGGATGGAGCCAGCATGCTGCTAATCGTCAGTCTCATGCATTGTTTACAAACATGATAGGGAAGTGAGAAAGGGAACAGAGTCTTACTCACTGGGAAAACACAGGGAGGATACACGCATGTGAACACACACACACACATACATGCACGCACACATGCAGGGTGAGGCTACTTTTTAAAAATGTAAGCCAAAAATCAGCTGTAAAACATATCTCTATGTTCTTAACATGGCATTAGTCACAAATTACACAAATCCTTTCGTCCCCTTCTCTTCCAGATGGGCCTCTGTCTCTTTTCTTATTGGAGACTCCCATATGTAGCCTTGACTGTCTAAACTTGCTATGAAATTTTCTCGGTGTGTTTGTTTGATTTGTATGTTGGCTTCTTTGTCATGCAGGATGATGATCCCATGATTTCCTGCTTCCAGAGTCTGCAGAGCCTGACAGCCGAGGCCAAGGGAAGGGAATTCTAGGTTTGCTCTGAGTGAGTACCATGCTGATACTCACAGATCCTTTAACTCAGGGGCCAGGGGCGGCAGGAGCACAGAGAGACCTGCAGTGCTGTGCGGGGGCTGTCTCTTGAGATCACAGTTGCACTTGGAACAATCAGGTGGGAGCTGTCGCCATCCTCCAGTTTCCCCAAACAGCTCATATCTTTTCTCTGTTCTCTCACCCCTTCCCTCTTGCCATCTCTGCCAGAAGCCAATTCACCAACACTCAACTCGCCAAAAGGCAGTTTATACAATGACCAATTCACTGTTGACTAAATCTGTTGATTTTGGATGGGAACAGTCATCATCAACATTTTCTCCCCAATACCAGTCTCTCTAGCTTCATCTGGTCTTTCCTCTACTTTCTGCCCTCTCACCAGAGGCTCCAATGTAACAACACCAAGAACCACAGCATCTACAATAACAACACCAACAACCACAGCATCTACAATAACAACACCAACAACCACAGCATCTATAATAACACCAACAATCCCACAGAATCTACAATAACAACACCAACAACCACAGCATCTATAATAACACCAACAACTACAGCATCTACAATAACAACACCAACAATCACAGCATCTACAATACCAATATCAACTACAACATCTACTATAACAATACCAACAACCACAGCATCTACAATAACAACACCAACAACCACAGCATCTATAACAACAGCACCAACAACCACAGCATCTATAATAACACCAACAACCCCACAGAATCTACAATAACAACACCAACAACCACAGCATCTATAACACCAACACTACAGCATCTACAATAACAACACCAACAACCACAGCATCTACAATACCAGCACCAACAACCACAGCATCTCAAATAACATCAACAACCACAGCATCTATAACTACATCCACAACAGTATCAATAACCACAACACGAACCACAACATCAGCAACCATAGTAAGACTATCAACAACATCTCCAGCAACAACTCCAGCAACAACCACATCTATCATCACCACCCCACAGCAAAACAACTGCAGCAGAGGTCTGAGTGTTCTCTGTGTGTAAAGAACGGGGTGTAAGAGTCGCCACGACCAAACACACTGCACAGTCTAACTCGGCTTGTTGTTCTGTCCTCACCATCCATCAGCCTTTGGAGACAGAGAACACACGTGTGCCCTTAGCTCGGTGTTTCATCTTATGCTATCCCTCTGCTTAGGATGACATATGCCTACTGCCCTCCTGTTTCCTTCTTATGGTTTCAAACTGACCCATGGTGATTGCTAATGTCTCTTTAATTCCCAACAACGTCACCATTTCTAAGGAGGGCTCCCTCCCAAGCAGGGGTCTTTGATCCTGTCGGGCCTCATGTGGCACTTGGGTCTGCGGTTGTTTGTCAGTGCCCTGTTTTCTCGCCACTGTTCACAAGAATTACAATGAGCAGCATCCACAGCATCTTGGTTTTGGTCCCCAGGCTTTCACATCATGCCACAATGATTAGATGCTCAGCAAATATTGATTGGAGTATTTTATCTGAGTCTCAGCTTTCTGCTCTCAAAAGCGGGAGCATATTAGAATCTCGCCAAGATCAATGACAGGGGGATTTTAGAAAATACCTTAAGGACTATAAAGTTCTGTGAAAAGCAGATATGCTCTGTAAAGGTATTTATTAAACAAAATACCTAACGGCAGGGTGTTGGGTGGAAGGGGTGTCACCAAGGGCAGACAGTGAGCGCTCGTCACTGTCACAAGCACAAACAGTCCAATGCAGACATATGCAGCAAGGACTTGTTCAGTCTTTGAAACTGTGACTGCTTGCTGACATTGGTGGCTCTCTTTTCCACACTCCAGCCTCGGCACAGTGCACTTTAACCAAGTTCTTATTTTGTGGGTCAGGGGAAAATTTCCTCCATTCTTCATGGAGAAGAGGAAGCAGAGATCGTTAGTGAGGTCTCAATGAGAACAGGGGCAACAACTTTGGCTTGGATGTAACAGGTCAGTCTTGTGACAGATCAATCCTGCAGGACCTCCCAATTTATAGTCAATCTATGTGAATAGTCAGAAACTTTTCTACTTCTTGAAAAACCCCCAGATCTTAGTGTTTAGAGGACTGTATCTAAGGCTATGTGCTAATAAAGTTTGTCTAGGCACTGAAATTCAGGCAGCATGAGGAAAGTCCCCAGATAAATCAATGGCCAATTATTAGCAGTCTGTAACTGCGCTAGCTATGCCAGATGTTCTTTCTTTCTTTTCTTTTCTTTTTAAATATTTATTTATTCATTTATTTATTCATTCATTCTTCTGTCTGCATGTATGCCTGAAGGCCAGAAGAGGGCACCAGACCCCATTATAGATGGTTGTGAGCCACCATGTAGTTGCTGGGAATTGAACTCAGGACCTTTGGAAGAACAGGCAATGCTCTTAACCTCTGAGCCATCTCTCCAGCCCCAGATGTTCTTTCCAATGGTGGTTTGCGTCCTGTTCACATCTGGAGAACAGTGATGGTGGGAGGTGGTTCCTGGCCTCGACGCCTGTGTCCCGAGAATTTGGAGGACTCAGGAAAACTGCTCTTCTGTAAGAGAGCCCTGCACCAGATGCGTAGGTGGGGGGTGAGGCACGGCAATGTCGGCCAAGGAGAGACAGCTGGAAATAACGAACCCTTCCAATGGAGCTCACTTTACAGGCACGTGAAGTTATCCGGAATAAAGAAATTAAAAAGACCCCTTCCTTCTCCCTTTAAGATTTCTTTTGACAAAATCTTATGGGAAAATATGCATTGCTATGAGGATTTCCTCAATCGGGAGATGTACTCTCATTTTGCCATTGTGGGAAAGTACAAAAATACAAAATGTCCCCAGCTCTTGGTTTGTGACTCATGTTTACTTGTCGATCACCACAGGTGGTCCACATGCACTGAGCCAAAAATCACAAAAATACAAACAGAGGCAGTACACCTAACTGTCTGTACTCTAATAGTCGGATGGGTCAAATTCACGATGAAGTCATTCCTGAGCTGACACTCTTGCAAGGAGACGTGGGGTGTAGTTTGTCTGTGTGATTTTGAGACCAAAGGCATTCAAGGCTCTGAAGGGCTCCAGTTCTACAAGAGCCCCCAGCATCGTCGGAGATCCAGAGACAAAGGACCAGCAGATGTCAGTGTGCGGGGACGGGCTCCTCCCAGTGGTTCTTAAAATAACCGGTGTTATTTTAAGGTATTATTAAAATTCCAGTGTGGGAGTGTACACCTGGAATACCAGAGATTCCTGGGAGCCTGAGGCAGGAGGATCACAAGTTTGAGACCAGCCTGGGTTGCCTGCCTAGGGAGATTCTGTAGAAAAGTAAACTAAACTAAACTAAACTTGAACTTAGAGTATAGGGAAAAGTTAAGACCATTTCTTTAAACTGCCTTAAAGAAATGTTGGTTTAAGATAGGCTTCCTAATTAACACAGCTGTATGCTGATCCAATCAGATACAAAGTTTAAGGATAAAATAAATACTTGTATTGAAGCATTTTAGGCATAGTGCTCCCTGATAACAGCATGATGGGATGGAACAAAACCCCAAGTTCCTCCCAGATCCTGAATCTGTCTTCAGCAAGACAAAAGAGAGCCCTGGGAGGCAGAAGGGAGGCCATATGGCTTGATGCTTCAAGGGAGCCACACAGTGCGCATGCTCATCTTTCACGGGGACATTCTGTTCTGTGGGGTGTGTGTGTGTGGATGTACCATGTTCTTCATGGCTCTTCAAAATCCTTGGCAAAGCCCAAAGATGCTACCGATGTTTATTTTTCTGTGAGCTGAGTGTGCTAAGTCACACAGCCCTGTCAGGCATCAGAGTTTCAGCCAGAGTGGCCAACTGCTAAAAGTTAAAATGCTATTTAGTTTGGAAGTAAGCCAAAAGGCCACTCAGTATTTCTATTTTAGAAAAATTAACATCAATATTTGGAATTCAGTTAGAAGTAGCTTCTGGAGAAATTATACTTCCATGGGGAAAAAAAAATCTGGAATCAAATATTCAGCAGACAGTTTAAGCACAGAGCAAGGGTTTCTTTGTTTTCTTGCCCTGAGCAAAGGGAGAAGTTCTGGCTGTGAGGAAGGCTGCGTGTCACAGGGGTATGTGAAACGGTGCACATGCATACATGCATGCATGTAGGTGTACAACACACCTATGTAAGCACATACATGCAAGCTCAAAATGCACACACGAAAGAAAATACGTTCACACACGTCAACACACACTCCTACGCATCCAAGCCCACTCTTGCAGGGACGTGAGGACTCACACACACACATTGCTGCAACCACATGCAAGCATGCAGGTGAGAGACTAGGAGCTAGATAGGTGCTCTTGTAAGCAGACAGAGAGTGAGAGAGGCCATGGCTTGGGAATAAACTGTGAATTTCCAAGATGGTCAGCTTTATCCTCCTATGTTTCCCTCTTGTTTCCTTGTGTACTTCTTGGTGGCTTGGCTTATTTCCTATCCTCCTCGGACCAGAAAGGATGACACCCAGCAGCTGGTGTCTCACCAGCTCCCCTCTGAAGCATCTGCCTGATGGTGTTCGTTTCCTACTAGTAGGTCCCCTGCTGATGGACAGATGACCAGGTTAGACACTATCGCACAGCAGCTGTGGGCCAATCAGTCATTCTGTCTGTCTTTAAACTGACTAAAGTTGGGGAGGAAACTCTTCAGAGGCTTCAAAAGCCCCCAGCCTGGAGAAGCGATTGGATTTTTGATTTTTTGGGGTCCCCACTCTGTTGTGAGTCTGTTTTTTTTTTGGTGTGTGTGTGTGTGTCTGCTGTGTGCATGCGTTTCTTCAACCCCCCTCATTGCCTTCCTTCCCCAGCTGATTCTGTCTGTGCGCCTTGGGATTTCTCTCTGCTACCTGTTTTGCTTCAGATAGTTCCTACTTTTTGTGTTCTTTAACGGGCAGAGAAGACAAATTCTATCAAGACCCCCCCCACGCACACACAATGCACATAATATGCAATAATAGACATGCACATGTACACATCCAGTTGCACACACATATCCATGCAAATGCATTTGTGCATCTACGCAAGCACACACACTTGCAAGCAAACATGTGCACATTCTCCTTCTTCCTTAAAACAATCCGTTACAGCCAGAGCCGTGAAAGGCAGCCACCAGCCTCTGGTAGGTATGTCCTCTAGTGTTCCACACTCACTGTGGCTGGCTTAGCCTGGAAAGCACTGCACACGCACAACTCTGGTCTGAAAATTTAGTGCACAGTGTCTGTAATCTGGCTCAAAGCCCAGGCCTCTCGAGTGGATTTGTGTTTCGTGGATCCACTGCCATTGAGACCGCTGGCACAGGGCAGTCAAGCCAGCCAAAACAGGTTCTTACAACACTCCCGGGACACATTGTCCAACAGAGCCCCCTGATAATGTCTCATTAGCCCTTCGGCATGCAAGAGCACTCTGATATGTGATCTGGCTCTCATTCTTCAGTGACATCCTGGGGCCGTTAGCATTCTCTTTATTCTTTGTCATAACGGCAAGGAGTGGCGGTAGACAGGTGGCAGCAAGGAGGGGCTGCATGGGCAGGGCTGAGCTGGTTTCTATGCTCGGGTTGGAGGCTCCTTTCAGACAGTGCCTATGGTTTCCTCGCATCTCCCCATGTTTTTGGATTTGTTGGTCTGGCTTGCTTCCTGTGCTCATCGGCCCAGAGAAGACGACACCTAGCAGCTGGTGTCTCATTGACTACTACTTGTGGTATTCACTTGATATAATCCTGGGAAAGGCTTTCCCTGGATCAGCAAGCCAGCTGGCAGGCTTCTGACCTCAGGGAGAGCTACTAGACACCAGAAAACACATGACTGGGCTGGAGAGGTGGCTCAGAGGTTAAGAGCATTGCCTGCTCTTCCAAAGGTCCTGAGTTCAATTCCCAGCAACCACATGGTGGCTCACAACCATCTGTAATGAGGTCTAGTGCCCTCTTCTGGCTTGCAGGGATACACACAGACAGAATATTGTATACATAATAAATAAATAAATAAATAAATAAATATTTAAAATAAAAAAAACCACATGACTTTGAGAAGCATCTGACGGCAGAGTTGGATTTACGTGGCTCTGACTCGGCTTCTTCTTTGCTCAAAGTCTCCAGAGATGTGATTCTAGTAGATGCTTTGAGTTGCATCCTTGGTCTTGGTCCTCACCTCCAATGGGTGGGAGGGAATAATCCCCCTGCCCTCCCCCCACCCCCAAAAGCTTGGTGATCAGGAGGCAGCAAGTGCCCAAACCCTGGCATGTAGCTCTCCTTGAGTACAAAGCAGGTAGGGTAACCAAAGAGGTCACTAGTGCTCAGCTGACCCATTGTATCTCCTCTGTGTGCCACCTGCCCTTGAAGACACGCCTGTGAGCTATGCAAGCAGCACCTCCCTTGGCTCACAGGCAAAGGGGGATGTGGTGTGATCAGAGGGAGCAAAGGTGCCAAGAGGAATGCCCGAACACAGAGTTCATCGGGTGATGTCAACGGGGCACATGGACAACCCAGAGAAGACGTTTTCTTCCTGCTTTGGGGACAACGTGAGAAGACAGACATGACGAGGCTACAGGCTGCGCTGTGCTTACCGGGATCCCTAGGGCTTTAAGAATGTTCATCTTGCACATGGGACAGGTGCGATGGTCTAGAAGCCAGGGGTCAACACAGGACTTGTGGAAAAGATGCCTGGAATGAGAACCATACATCTTAGAGCAGTGGTAACCAAGGCACTCACTCCCTAGACCGGTCCAGGGTCCCTCTCCTGACAAGTGGCAAAGTTAGGACTCCGGGACCAAAGCCTTTCTTTGTGCTAATTGACTTCAGATCTGCCTGGAACACCAGAGTGCCCCATAAGGATTGCAACTGGCTCTTCCAAGATGTTTTTTTTTTTTTTTTTTAAAAGGCAGAGGCTCTGGAAACAGGGATCTCCCCTCCCTTGGTGGCAGGAATACAAGCGGGGGAAACTCTCCTGCAGGACGACTTGAGAAAGGCTTGTGTCCCCTCCTCTCCCACCCCAAGTTTATTGTGCGACCACCAGAAGACGACCGTAAAGTAAAGGGTGATTTCTATTCATATCTGGGCATCTGACACAGAAGGGGATAGCGGGCCCCAGAAACAGTAGCACAAAGGACATGCTGTGCTGGCCTGGTAGCCTGGTGGTTGTCAAGTCAGAAGATGCAGTGAAGGGGCCTATGGTTTCACTGTGGGTGACATAACACAGCGTTATATTCGACTCCACTGTCACTCTCAAATGGCAGTGGCTATAAGGCCTGGTCAGCCTGGTGCGTGAAGGGCATATGAAGACAGCCTCCTATCTGAACTTCCAACGTGACTCGGGAACTGGCTTGGAGACTCTGTGGGCTATGTGCACTCCAAAGACTTCCCACTCCAAAGACTTCCCATGGGCAGAAAGTGGCAGGATTTCCCATCTGGGTCAAGAAGAACCAGAATTTTTTGTTTTCAGTGGGCAGGCTCACTTAGAACATTCCATCCCCGTCTGAATCTTTTCAGTTCCATAAAAAATGGCTCTAAGCTAACGAGGGAGGTTCAGGAAGCAGCCGGCCTGTGGAGTGACCTGCAGACGAACTCAGATTCTGAGGGTGATGAAGTGATCTGTGGACTAAGACCAGGCCTGAGAGAGCTCAGCTGGTGATGTCTCCGCTGTGTAAGTTTGAGGACCCCAGGCTGATTCCCCCCTCCTGCCGTGTGTGTAAAGGGCCAGGTGTGGCAGCTGCGCTTGTTATCTTTGCACACTCTGGTGAGGCAGAGGCAACTGGAGCCCTAGGGCCCCCTGGCCAGCCCAGCCTGAAGAATAGCAAGCTCCAGGTCTCAGAGGGAAATCTTGTCTCCTGAAACACAGCACTGGTGGTCGAGCCTAGGCCTCCAGAAGCACTCACACACACACGTGAACATGCACACACACATGAACATGCACGCCCCCAGAACTGAAGCCCCGGGAGGAGCATGTCAGAAAGGGAAGAGGAGTGGGCTGCACGGTTCTATTTCCAGCCTGCTGCTCTGGACGCCCTGCAGACGCATTGCTTGGGAACTTGATTTCAGGTGCTCCTCCGTTAATCAGGATATAAGCCAACAACCCAGGCCAACACCGAGACTGTTGGTGACCTGGCTCCTTTCCTAAGGCAAAGGCTGATAAAATAAATACCTGAAATGAAGCCAAATGTCAGGAGATTGCTGGCTGAAAATTACCTGACGACTACACAAGAGTTTGGGGTGGGGTTCCCAAGAGAAGACTGACCAGAGTTTAGGTACGTGGAAAGCAGAGTGGCAGTCACCCCACATTTGAAGGGGAGAGAAGAAGAAAGTTCTTGGAGAATGAGGGGTCCAATCAAAATGGCTCCTGGACCACCCTGTGCTGGAAGCGGGCCAGACTTGCTGACGCACTATAAAGAAGGAGGATCTCCATAGCTACCACTGTTAGGAGAGGCCGTCTGACACCCACGCCGTATGAAGCTGCTCCTTGTACTCCCAAGGAAATGCTGATCCCCTCAGGTTCAGGATCCATACTGAGGGTGCAAGGTTCTTGTCTAAACCTGTTAACCCATTGTGTGTCACTGCTGGAAGAAGCCAGCCATTTTGGTCCCATTGACTACTCCTGGGTAGCGGATCTGTCACCGTTTTTTTTCCTATCACATGTGTGGGAGACCTGATGGCAGTAGGACCAACTGTTAGCACTTCTTAACACTTACACAGGTTTCTATGTCCTCAACCACCTGTGAAATGGGAATCTGTCTGTTCAAGCATGGCGGACAGGAGCCAGAGGTCCTCACACTGCTCTTAAACCAGTGTCTCCTCAGCAAGGCTAAGTTGCCTGGCTGTCAATCAGCACTGCTTAGGAATTGCTGTGAAGATGTGGATAGATATTCTTCTGGTCTAGGTGAGTCTTGTCCAAGCATTTTAAGGGTCTCAGTAAAACCGTTTTCCTGGAGAAGTTATTCTGCCTTGGAACCTGAAACATCAACTCCTGCCCAAAGGTGTGCAGCCCAAGACCCACCCTGCAGACCAACCTCAGGCCCAACAGCTCTACACCCAAGCAATCCAAATCCTCGAAACCTCCCCATCTCTTTTCTCTTTGTGTGAACCTCCCATCTTTCTTGCTGACATCCGTCTCTGTGGTTCCCACTGGTTCCGTTTCTCTGTAGACCCCTCCCTCCCTCTCTCCCTTTCTTTTTCAAATGTGCCCCCCCCCCCATTGATGATCTTGTGATTTTTCTTCATTACTGCAGCAGCATCTACAGCGCTCCCCAGGCTGCCAGGCCTTCTCTGTTCTCTCCATCCTACTCACGGATGCCAGATTTATATCCTGAAAATAGAGCGCTCATTACGTCACTCCCCCCTTTCATTCTGTTCTGTGCTGGAGCTGAATACACAGATGACTAAGACAAGGTCTCCCCCTTCACGGAAGTACCACGGTTCCCTTGCAGTTCCATCTTAGACACGGAGGGAAACTGTCGAGAGGCCACGCTCCTAGACTGGAGGTTTCCTCTCTTTTCACTCTTAGGCAAGTTGTCTTAGCTCTCCAAGGCTCAGTTATAACTGGTCATCTTATGGGAATGGGGTTTGTAAGTGAATCAATCTCTCTCTTCTCTCTCTCTCTCTCTCTCTCTCTCTCTCTCTCTCTCTCTCTCTCTCTCTCTCCCCCTGCCCTCCCCATGGGGTTTAAATAGCACTGGAGAAAAACCAACAAAACTAAAAGCAAAACAAAGCCAGATCAGATTTTCTCAAGGCTAACCTTTTTAAATCGCAGTGGAAGACACCGATAACTTTGCGGATGCAAGCTAGGAGGGAAATGCATGGCCCTCACTTTAAATTAGAGAAAGGCTCTGTCCTTAGAACTTGACCCTGGTCTAATTATATTATTGGGCTGGAGCAGCCCAGCCGGTTGGCAGCCGTCCTGTGTGTCTAGCTGATTAATGTGACCAGGGACCAGGACACTTGAATGCCATACATGAGAGGGTCACTACAGGGCAGGATCTCTGTCCTGAGTCAGCTCTTGCTCTGTTATAGATGACACAAATGAGCACAGGGGGGTCTCCCAGCCTGGCTACCTTTTTCTGTGTTTCTTTCCTTTAATCCCCTCATTAAGTGATACGTATCATTGGCTCTTACTGAGGGTAGTCAGAGAAAAATGGTTCAAAAACACCACCAGTCAGGTTTCTACCTGAAGTAATGCGATTTTGACCAATGTGGAAAGTCCCTGTGATATCCATGGATTCGGTTCCACTATTTTAAATGCGGTTGCAATGCAGAAGTCATGGCTTTGACAACCACACCGGCCTTCAGGTGTGAGCGTGTTATGTACACAACACCTGGATAAAGAGGCACATGGCTCTGTCACTCCAGAAAGTTCTTTCCTGTTCACAGTCAGCACAATCCTCCATTCTGACCTCTGTCCCCAGAGGCCAGCTTTCCCTCTTATTAACTCCATGCGTACAGAATTATAAAGTAGGTATTTTTCCTGGGATATCTTATGCTCAGAGTGATGTTTCTCCAGTTTCTCTGTGCCTCGCTGAGCACCAGCAGCTTCTGCTGATGCTAAGTAGTCTTCCAGTGAGTGGATGCCCCCTAATTTGTTCGATGGTTTTCCTGAAGCTAGAGGTATGGTTGTTTTCATATTCTGACATTATGAGCAACCACGGTCCAGTCATTTGTGTGAAAGCCTGTGTATAGACACATGCAGGCTTTCTCCTTGGGTACACATTTAAATATCGATATCTGAGACATGGTTTCAGAAACTGGCTAGACTTGCTGAGCTCCTGGGATTTACTCCTGCCTCTGTCCTTCCCAGCGCTGGGGCTGCACTACTGTGTCTTAGCTTCTTACTTATTTTAATGTGGTGCTGGGGATTCGAACTTAGGTTTTCATGAGACAGTTTTGCCTGCTGAGCCATCTCTCTACCATTAAAACACACAGACTTTGTAACACGACCTTTAAAACCCCACTGATCAAAGGCACCGTAAAAATAAAATGTATTCAGGTGAGAACAAGCATGATTTATCCCCCCCCCCCCCCCGCAAATGTTAGAACTAGTCAACACGTTTATCAATTTTAGACCACAGGACCCTTTCTAGTCTAACATTTCCAGCTAGGAACCATGGTCCAATTGACATCAACTTATATAAGTTACAAAACTGTGTTAGTGAAGAGTAATACCTCAGAGAAATAAAGCAAAACAAGGACTAAAAGCATCTTAGAATTTGACTGTCAGAGGAGAGAGAGGCTTTATGAAGTAGGACTTCCTGGTTCCAGCTGGCACCAGTGGAAACACCCCTCCACCAGGCTGCGAGGCAGCTGTCAATCATTACTATCTTCCAAGAAAGCAGTCTGAGAAAACTCAAGATACTTCAGCATCACACTGGAGCCAGTCAGTCGACTTTGAAGAGTATAGCCTTTGACGAAATTGAGAACTTCAAACTCCATGATTCCAGAACGACGAAGTATTAAATTAAGTACTGAGTGATGGGACTTAAATTAATCCGAAGAATGGACTCTTTTGCTACCACCTAACCAATTTTAAGTAATTTCTAAAGTTACACGGAAAGGTTTACTTTTTAATGGCAACTGAGAAACTGAATTGCAACTACAACAATTGCTGACTCCCCAGTGTTTAAGATGCGCACGCAAGGTGCAGCAAGTGTATTATAGACTTGATTACACCCAGCACTGTT